GGTCAGGGCCCATCCAGGGCCACGGTGAGGAGTTAGGATTTTAAAGAGGCCTCCACTCTCAGTCCTGCTCCTCAAAAATCTCTACTCCCTTAGCTCACAAGCTCAGGAGCTCCCTTCTGGTCTGGACCCAAACGATGTCCACACCCACTGACTTTTGATGTCAACAATGTAAGTCTCCTCCCTGGGGTCTCCTAGCGTCAGTGGGTGGGTGGGTGAGAAGGAGGCAGAGACTCCCCAGATGAGGGCTGATGTGCTCTCCCTTCTGCGCCCTGCCTTCTCCTAGCCCCTGCATCTGGACTACGTGATGGCTGCCGCTAACCTCTTTGCCCAGACCTATGGACTGGGAGGCTCTCAGGACCGAGCTGCTGTGGCCACCCTCTTACAGTCTGTTCAGGTCCCCGAGTTCACCCCCAAGTCTGGCGTCAAGATCCACGTCTCTGACCAGGAGCTGCAGAGCGCCAGTGCCTCTGTTGGTGAGAGTTTTTGGCTAGGAGTCACCATCCTACTTGTCCCCTGCCCAGCTCAGCCTCCCCACCGGTCCTTGCCCCTGGCTCTGCTCTGCGACTCCAAGCCTGAGGCTTCCCCCACACCTGCCTTTGAGCCTCCCTTTCTGAAACGAAGAGGGTTGGTTAGGGCAAATTCTCCTTTACTCCCTCTCCCTTACCACTCGCTAGCCCTCAGGAGAGCTAGCTGTTTATTTTTCTTGTTCCACGCATATCCACCTTGAAAAAAAAAGTGTTGTTTCCTCTTGATCTTTTTATGGAGGGGGGGAGATACATATCCACCAATGACCTTTGTCCCTTGGCCTTAGTTTGCTGACCCTTGATCTATGTATTTATCCAGGTACCCTTCCCTTCCATCTGTCTCCCTCCAGAGGTAATGTGTCTGTAGCTACGTTATTGCCCCTGCATTTTCCTTCCATCTCCCCCCTTACTCTCCGTGTGTCTTGTCTCTCGTCATCTCCCATCTTCCTTTCCAAATATATATCCCTACATGTTCCTCTCTGTATGTTTTTTCTTATCTTCTCTTTACTTCCTTCATTTACTTTCACCCATATACTCCCTCTTCTTGTATGTATATGGGGTATTTGTAAAATGTATGTAAAATCTCCCGCCTGTCTCAACCTCTTACATGCCTCTATTCTCCCCTTTCATGCCTTCTTTCTCCCCCTCCATATCATTCCTCTACATCCATGTCTGCATATTTCCCCCCAACTTCCCCTTCGTGTTTCTTCTACATCCCCCCTTCCCCATCTCTTCCTCCATGTCTCCCCACCTCTCTGTACATTCTCCCCGAGATCTCCAGCTCTCCCACCTGGATCTCCACTTTCTCCTCGTGTCATCATTTAAGTTCCACAGTATCTCTAGAGATCTTGCTATCCCACCTCCCCCTTCCTGTTTTCAGGTTTGTGCTCTGTTGCCTTGCTTTACTCTCCCCCTACCCCCTCCTCCAGGATGGCTTTCCTTTTCAAATCCTTTTTCTATTTGAAAACCTTTTGCCCCAACCTGGGCTTCTGTTTTCATCGCGGACCCTGACTTGGGATCTAAGGAGCTGTTGTGTCTTCTCTCTTCCTGCAGATGACAGCCGTCTAGAGGAGCTCAAGGCGACACTGCCTAGTCCAGAAAAGCTCCCTGGGTTCAAGATGTACCCCATCGACTTTGAGAAGGTGCTGGGTGGGGACCCTGGGCAGGCAAGGGGTGGGCTAAGCACACATGGGCTGGGCAGGACAGATCTCTGGGGATCTGGAGGCGGCCCCAGGCCTTTGTAGGGCTTGGATCACAGGCTTTCCATGCGGCCCTGAACAAATAGCTGTTCCCAGCCATGCCTTTGTGATCTGAGAGAGCCCAGCAGGTAATTGCAGTGTCCCCAAAGGCCAGGAGTCCTCTTCCTCCTCTCATCTTCATTATCTTCCTATACTCCCCCTGCCCATAAAAGGATGACGACACCAACTTCCATATCGACTTCATTGTGGCTGCATCCAACCTCCGGGCAGAGAACTATGACATTCCCGCTGCAGACCGGCACAAGGTGAGGGGATCTAGACCTGATGTGTCACCCCCTCCCAGGCTTGAGTTCCCTGCCTTCCATCCCTTCTGTAGACTGGGCGCATCCTCCTCCTCAACTACAACCTTCCTTGATTTCTCCTGCCTCACAGAGCAAGCTGATTGCAGGGAAAATCATCCCAGCCATCGCCACAACCACAGCAGCTGTGGTTGGCCTTGTGTGCCTGGAGCTATACAAGGTGGTTCAGGGGCACCGAAAGCTTGACTCCTATAAGAATGGTTTCCTCAACTTGGCCCTGCCTTTCTTCGCCTTCTCTGAACCCCTACCTGCACCCCGTCACCAGGTGAGGGTCTGCATCAGGGGAGGTGGGCTTCTGGTTGGGGTGTTTCTCTCTAGAGCTGGCTCTAGTTTGCTTCACAGGCTTTTGCCAGGTGAGGTTTCTGTCAGTGTGTAGCTGCTCCTTTTGTGTGCCCCTTGTTTTTTTGAGTAGCTTCTGTGTGCTAAGCACTGGTGTTATTCTACCTGTGGAAGCCCTCAGAAAAGATGGGACATTTAATAGGAGATTGTTAATAACTGTACAGTAATAGCAACCAGCATTTATTAGGTGCTTACTCTACTAAGTTCTTTTACTTGCTTCATTTATTAATTCACTTAAGTGTTTCTTGAGCAACCCCAAAATAGAGCAGGCTAAGGAAGACTTGGGAGTACCGGGTGGTAAGGGGTTGGGTTTGGGATTTTAAATGTGAGATGGCCACATAAGACCTTGCTGAAAAGACAAAGTTTGAGTCCAAACTTGAAGGACGTGGAGAGACAGACCATGCAGGCTTCTGGGAGGAGGGCATTTCAGACAGAGGGACCAGTCTCTGTAAGGGTAGCAGTGTGCCTGCCTGCCTGGCATGTTTGAGAAAGAAGTAGCTAGAGCACAGTGAGTGAGGGGAGGAACAGAGAGGAGGACTGCAATGATGTAGGGCCTTGTTGGTCATGGCCATCATAAGGTTTCAGTGCTTAGGGTGAGGCGGAAGCCACAAGAGAGCTTTGGACAAAAGAGTGATCTTGCTTAGCATGTCTGCATAAGTGGAGGGGGAGAGTGATGGGGCTGGACCCCTATAACACTGGTCTGCTTCTTGTCCCCCAGTACTATACCCGAGAATGGACGTTGTGGGATCGCTTTGAGGTACAGGGGCTGCAGCCTAATGGCGAGGAGATGACCCTCAAACAGTTCCTTGACTACTTCAAGGTGAGGCCCCTCCCTCACTCTTACCCCACATAGAGGCGGAGTGTGCATGTGACTGACCTGTCCACCCCTGTGACACGTCCACCCCTGTGACACGTCTACCCCTGTGACACGCCCATCCCCCTTCCCTCCTCCAGACAGAGCATAAATTGGAGATCACCATGCTGTCCCAGGGCGTGTCGATGCTCTACTCCTTCTTCATGCCAGCTGCCAAGCTCAAGGAACGGTTGGATCAACCGTGAGTTGGGTGGCAGAGCCTCAGCTTGCAGCTATCCCACTCCTGTTCACCACCCTTCAGCTCCTGGGCCCCCACCCACCCATGTGCCCTTCCGCTCTCTCTCCCTTCTGCCTCCCTCTCTCTCCCTTCTGCCTCCCTGACACTCTGCTCCCCTGCCCCCAGGATGACAGAGATCGTAAGCCGTGTGTCGAAGCGAAAGCTGGGCCGCCATGTGCGGGCACTGGTGCTTGAGCTGTGCTGCAACGACGAGAGCGGCGAGGATGTCGAGGTCCCCTACGTCCGATATACCATTCGCTGACCCCAAGCCCCCTTCTCCAGAGCCCTTCCCGCCAGGGCTCCCATTTGACTTGTGGCAGTGGCCCAGCTAGCCATGCCTGGTATCCCCTCATCCCCCTACCTGATCCCTCTTGCCACTGCTTCCTACATTGTTCAGAACCTTGAATCCTAATAAACAGTTATTAACTCGGACATGGCATGTCCTGCTGGTTCCAGGGAAGGAAAGGACTTCCTGGAGCTGTCTGGTTCAGATGGTAACCCAAAAAGCTAACCCCAGCACCACCACCACCCCACCCCCAGCTGCCTGTTTTCTGGGCAGAGAACATGTGGGAATTGCCACCTTCTTCCTCCTTCCCTCCCTGCTTAGGAAGAAGTGGAGGCACCGGTGAGGCCATAGAGAACAGGATCCAATTTACGTGAGCTGGGTTCCAATTCTACCTTCTCCATCTCCTAACACCCTGCCATGCTATATTGTTAGGTCAGCAGGGCTTATGAAAGTGTTTAGCTGAGGACACCTGTAGAGGAAAGGGCCCTTTCCTGCCCCGTCCTTCCTGTCTCTTTCCCCTGCCCCCCACCTGGTCTATCTGACCTGAGGCCTCTTAACTTTGAGAAGAGTCAGCTGTGGGTGGCTGATTGGTTAGAGTAGGCAATAGGAGGCTCACCTCAGGCCCCCAACAGGACTGCATACTCTGTCTGCCCTTGATCTTGGCTGAACACTCCAGACAGTTGAAAGCACCAATGTGGCCTCTTTGTGCCTAAGGTGCCACTCATACCTCTGTCCCTCACCCAGCCACTTGGAAACAGACTCCTCATCCCTTCACTCAGTTCTGGATATTGGGAGTAGCACAACCTGGAATGAGGGGGCTTCAGGTAGACATTTTTAAAGAGGTTAGTCAGGGCAGGCTTCATGAAGGTGACATTGTAGCAAGGACCTGGAAAAGGTGAGGGGATGAGGCCGTGACTATCTGAGGGAGGAGCATTCCAAACAAAGGGAACAACAGCAAGGGCAAAGTCCCAGAGGCTGGATTGTGCCGGCTTTATTCAGGACCAGCTAGGGGATTAGTATGGCTGGAGTGGAGTGAGAGAAAGAAGGGTAGGAGATGAGGTCAGATAAGTCATGGACCTGACTAGCCCACAGTAGACTTGTCAAATACGGTGTTTCTTCTCCCATCATGGTCTGGTATATCGCCACTAGGATAAACCTTACTGAAGAACTAACTGGTGTGAGCAGGGCTGTCATAAAGGGCAGCCCAGGACAGGCGGTGAAGCTGGCTTTGGACTGAGGTGCAGTGTAGAGTTGTCCCGGAAGGCCTGCTGAAGGTTGCTGTCCTGTGAGTTGGGCTTGGTGGGGAATCTTATAGGCAGAGGGGTGAGGGATTAGGTCTGTCTGGCAATGCTTTGACACAACAGGTACCCAGTAAGTAAAAAAACCCGAGCCAGGAGAGTCAAGGGCAGGGCTCTGGCGGGCAAAAAAAGATAAGTTGAGAGGTGGCAGGAAACACCAATTCTGGGAGCTAACATAAAAGTTCTCTTGAAGCGGAAGAGAAACCCCGGTTTTAGCCCTAAGTCGCAAGTATGCGCAGTAATGTACTGCCCGTTTAAAGGTCCGCCTTTCTTAGCCTAGGTTCCACCCCGTGGGCCTTGCTGAGAAAGGATGGAGGGAGGGTTAAAGGCGGGACAAAAGTTGATTGAACGTTCTTTTGACCAATCACCTTGCGGGATATTTGGCCTATAATGAAAGGAGCTCAGAACAAAAAGGAGGGCCCACCTCCCTGGCCATGAAAACCAGGCAGGGGTGTGGTAGGCAGCGAAACCACGCCTCCTCGGCTCAGCCACGCCCTTCATTCTTGCACTGCCTCACCCCAGGGAGCAGATCCGATTGGCTGGGCGACCTCAAAAGGCGGGGCCGCGCACCGTCACAGTGGGAATAAGCTAGCGGTGTGGGAGTGGGGGCAAGTGGGAGGGAGAGCTGCTGGGCGGGTAAAGGCCAATGCTGCTCCGGGCAGCCTCTCCCAGAAAAAGTCATCTTCTCTCGAACCTTTAAAACCCCTGCTTCCCAGAGCACCTCAAGGGACGAAGGCTGCCTCCTCTGTCTTTTTCCTCCTTGCCACAGTCCCATTTGCTATCATGGGGCTGTACCAAGTGAGACGGAGCAGGGGGAGCAGGTGGTGACTGGTCCGCCGGTTCCCAGCTGCTGCCCGCTCACGAGCACATTTCTAGCACGATCGTAGCCGAGTACCAAGCAGCCTCTCCAGCCGTCCCTGGCGCCGTCCCAGGGCTGGCGGCACATTTCCTGCGGGGTGCGCAATGGCCGCGCCCCCTCCCGCGGCGGACGGCTCCTTTGGTACGCGCAGTCCGAGGTGAGTCCCCTCCTTCCCACTGCGCC